ACGCCCACGTGGCTTAACCCCCGTCAGCATCTCAGCACCACGCACCCACTCGCGCACTCCCCCCTGGTGGGATGGGGGAGAGAATTGAAAGGGTAGAAGTGAGAGAACTTCTGAGTTGAGGTAAAGACAGTTTAATAGGTAAGGCAAAAGCTGCACACGCAGGCAACACAAAAGAAGGAATTAATTCACCACTTCCCATCAGCGGGCGGGTGTTCAGCCATCCCCAGGACAGCAGGGCTCCATCACGCCTCAGGGTGACTTGGGAAGACAAACGCTGTCACTCCGAACATCCCCCCCTTCCTTCTCTTTCCCCCAGCTTTTATTGTTGAGCATGACGTCGCCATACAGTGTGGGATATCCCTGGGGTCAGCTGTCCCCGCTGTGTCCCCTCCCAGCTCCTTGTGCACCCCCAGCCCACTCGCTGGTGGATGGGGGTGAGGAGCAGGAAAGGCCTTGGCTCTGTGCAAGCGCTGCTCAGCAATAGCTAAACCACCCCTGTGTTACCAACGCTGTTCCCAGCACAAATCCCAAACACAGCACCATACGAGCTACTACGAAGAAAATTAACTCCACCCCAGCCAAAACCAGCACACCACCCAGGCGCTCTCTCACTCCCCTCCTCAACAGGACAGAGTGAGGAAACAGGATGAAAAAGCTCATGGGTCAAGATGAAGACAGGGAGATCACTTAACAAATGCCATCATGGGAAAGAGATTTGACTTGGGGAATTAATTTCCTTTATTGCCAGTTAAAACAGATTTGGATACTGAGAAACAAAGACAATTAACACAACATATTTCCCCCCACCTCCCCTTTATCCCAGGCTCAACTTCACTTCTTCATTCCCAACTCCTCTACCTCCTCCCTGCTCCCTGAGCTCCAAGTACAGAGGTATGTCTCAACATTTGCATATATTTAAGGTTGGTCAGATTCTGAAATTCACGTGGCAGGTGGGAAAAATTACCAAAACCTTTTATTACACAAAACTTTTATTACACAAAACTCCTAACACAAAAACTAAACTTCTTTTGTAATATGCTTTGCTATATTATCCAGTATATTACATTGGCAACTAGTTAGAATCAAATATCCTCATTTTCCATTAACTTACAAACAGAAGTATTTTCTGAAGTTAATAATAGCTTTATCAAAGCTCCCACTATTGGATAGCAATACATTTTTTCATTCTCAGCTGATGTAAACTGAATCTGGTGGATGAAAAGCTGGACATGAGCCACCACTGTGCACTCACAGCCCAGAAAGCCAACCGTATCCTGGGCTGCATCAAAAGCAGCGTGGCCAGCAGGGCGAGGGAGGTGATTCTGCCCCTCTGCTCTGGTGAGACCCCACCTGGAGTCCTGTGCCCAGCTCTGGAGACCCCCTGCACAAGAATGACATGGAGCTGTTGGCGTGGGTCCAGGGGAGGGCCACAAATATGATCGGAGGGCTGGAGCACCTCTCCTGTGAGGACAGGCTGAGAGAGTTGGTGCTCTACAGCCTGGAGAAGAGAAGGCTGCAGCGAGACCTCACAGCAGCCCTCCAGTACTTAAAGGGGGATTATGAGCAAGCTGAAGCAGGACTTTTTACAAGGGCATGCAGTGATAGGACAGGAGGGGATGGCTTAAAACTAAGAGAGGATAGTGTTAGACTACATCTAAGACAGAAATTCTTTACTCTGAGGGTGTTGAGGCACTGGCACAGGTTGCCCAGAGAAGGTGTGGCTGCCCCCTCCCTGGAAGTGTTCAAGGCCAGGTTGGATGGGGCTCTGAGCAACCTGGTCCGGTGGAAGGTGTCCCTGGTCATGGCAAGGGGGTTGGAATGAGATGATCTGTAAGGTCCCTTCAAACCCAAACCTTTCCATGATTTGATGATTCTGTATTTTCAACAGATGCACTTCACTGATGTTTTCAATAGTCACTAAGCAAATAATGGAGCAGTCCATTTTCGAATGCACAATGATGCGCTATTGGAAAAAAACTGTATTACCCTCAGGCAAAATATACCTGTCCATAAGAAAACAACCACATATGCCACCTGAATCTATTTTATCCGATGAAAATCAAAAAAATTAATAAGCTTGATACATCAATTGTTTTACACTACAAGTATATATAATTTTAGCCTTGGATGTATCTTGTAAAACAACCCTTAAATTGCTGTCCCTGTTAGTGATCTTTATGCACAGATAAAATCACAACACACTTGCTTTCAAGGCAGCCACATAATTTTTTTATATTTACATTCTCAGTAGTAAAAAAGTTTCATGAGCTTGTCTCTGATGCTGTGCTAGAGACAGTCAAGTTTCATGTCAGCATCTACCATGAGCAAGTGAGAAACAGCATAAGCTGTGATACGCTGTTAGCAATTATGCATTCTAGGAATTTCAAAACCCATTAAATTTATCTTTAAATATTCTTTTAAAATATCATACTTTTCTTTCTCTATAGAACGTTTCCACTGGGGTCATCATAATGTGTGTAGGAAGCTGGCCAGCAAAATATACACTGAGATTACTTGCGCTGTATTTTACATCACAAATATTTGCTCTGTGTTCTCTCCCACCCATGTAATCCACTCAGCTGGTACTTAGCCTATGGCTGGTATGCGGGATAAAACCATATTTAAATATCAAAAGATTACATATACAATCTACTATTTCTTTAGAATAGACCAGAGCTATTCAGGGAATGTATATCAAACGCCACTTTTTGTGTTTCAATACAAAGTTTATGAGAAACGAGAAAGGTCTTTAGGGGTTTTTTTCACCCTTTACAAAGTGAATTGGTCTTGGATGAGAAGGTAGAGGGAAGAAATGGTACAACCTAAAATCAAAGATGGCCCCGCTCTTGTCTCAAAGGTAGCTATACTTCTTACACTTGCCCTTACCCATACTCTTTAGTTCAAATTACAGTGTCGGTGAAGAGAGTTTCTCTACAGTTTTTCAGATTTTGTTTTTTCTCCTTCAGCTCTCCCCTCAAACTACGGTGCTGGCCCCAGCGTGCAGCAAATCCCACTTCTCTCTTGATTTTTGGCATGCAGCTCCCAAGCCTGCCTTCTGCAGTCTCCTCAGCAGCTTGTGGTGTATCGCCAATACCATACAGTAAAGCTCCTGTGAAGCCGTACCCCTCCTCCACTTACAGCCTGCACGGAGATTTCCAGAGAGATGCTCAGGGTCTGGCTCTAAAACTTCTGAAGGCCGCTGGGAGGAGGCAGGCTTTACAGAACCACAGAATGGTCGGGGTTGGAAGGGCCCTCTGTGGGTCATCTAGTCCAACCCCCCT